AATTAAAATATTAATTTAATATACTTTAAAGAAAACAGAATATATTGATTGAAATTTCTCAAATTAGCATTCGTTGATAATTTTAGTATCTTCCTAGTTATATACTTATATTCTTTTATTAATTGCAAATTTCACTGACATATAGTAATATTAATCTATGGAGTATAAAATCTGAAGTTGTTATAATTATTGTATTTTTAAAAAGGAAATATGGTGGGTAGAGAGTAGGTAGGACCGTAACATGTTGATGTTCAGAAAGATCACAACCACATTTGATTACATTAAAAGTTTTGAAATTAATTCTTCTTTTTTGTATCTGTTTCCACTCTGTATTTTAACAATATTGAAAGAAGACCGGTATTTGAAGAAAGTCTCGAGATTGACTTATACGGTCCGGGACCATCTTGGATTCGTAATCCAGTTTTAAAGTGGATAATTCATTTAGGGGATATAGATTTGTCATCTTCTTGAAATAAATTGCATACACCTTGTTATACTTATTGCCAACCATTTATTGTTTTGGCGCATAAAATAAAATATCGTTTCATAAAGTAAAAACCATACATTTTGAAGTAGTTCAGATTAATAAATTTGAGAAAAATTATAAGAAAATAGAATCATATTTAACGCTGATTAGTTCCATTCACTTTTTTTGTTTTTAACTATATATATCTCTTAAAGTTGGGCTCAAAATAGTGTTTGCATCTCTGAGATAATTAAGTTTGGTCACGCATGCTTGGTTATATATAGTTGTGATTGGTAACAAATGTATTATTAGTACTTAAGTATTATTGTCTATCATAAAAGTGGTAGAAGAATAGCGGTATCAAAAACGATCTCATCAATCTATTTGTGTAATGTTATTTTTTTACCACTTTTCAATCTTTTTGATTACTCCTCAATTATTACTAGTATCTTTTTTGCTAAATGCAATTACTTATCGTTAAAAAAAAATTAACCATTTTGAGTTAGTAATCAAACCCGTATTATATAACATGTATTTCTAGTTCTTTATCGATGAGTATTGCAATTTGCAGCTAACAATTATTTGATATTTATATAAGGTCCAAAATCATTTGTAACGTTTTGTTTAATAACTTTTGGTAGAGATCTACTATTGTTCACTAGATGTCCTATATAATATATCAAGTAGTTTTGGTGGTATGAAAAAAAACAAATTCTTTTAAAGTTCTTTTTTTTTAACCTTAATTCTTTTAAAGTTTATGGTTATGTGTCAATTTTCCCTAAATTTTAGCATTTTGGCAAAGGAACAATAATTTTACTTCGTTGCAATGGTTTTATGTATTAGGTTAGATCATTTACACATAGAGCAACAAAAGTCGAAACGTGCAGCGATACATGGTTGGGCGTTACACGAAAGGAAACAACAGCTACTCTCCTTAATAAGTATTCACATTTTTATTTCATGTGTTTTGGCTTCTTTTCTTTTCACCAAAACCCATTAATTATAAGTTTCATTTGCTCGTGAAAGACCAAGGAAAAAGAAAAACCGATTATTCTTCATTGGTCAGAGAGAATTTTTGGCAGACAATTCGAGAAATTATTATTTGAATATTTTATCTTGTAAATGATAAAATAATAAATGTCTTCTTCTTTTAGTTGGGTTTGTTTTTCTTGGCATTTCTATTGATTTTCTTTCTTCGATGAAGACAATGCCGGCTTACAAATAAGCAAATATAACTCACATGAATATATTGTTGATAGATATGTGTGCAAGTGGACCAATCAAGAAGTTTATTTAGTTGTATTTTTACATGAATTACGTGAACGTATCTATTGATGGTACCTGCCCACAAGATATGTATTGTTCATTAGATGTCTCTAAAGACAATATTAATTCAAGGATTTACATCGTTAAGTCATAAGTGAATATTGCATTTGTTAAAAGTACTTTGAAAGATTCTCAGTACGAATCAGTTTTTTCACTCGATTAAAACTACAGAGTAAAAGGACACAACCTGCATGATGGTTCCGCTTGCCATATTGGTCCAAGTTAAGAACAAATTTTTCAAAAAAAAAGATTCTAACGTTCTGTTTGATTACAACTACTGCATGGTTACTTTATTTATCATAATGCAGTTTTTTCTTATAAATCGGAGTCATCGTTATAACTCGGAGTCTACTGCAACGTTATTAAAATGTAGAAAGCAGACTAATATAGTAATATGAATGTAAAAATTTAGATATATTAAAAACACCAACGTTAATTTTTCTCAACGATAAGCCATCCTGTGATCGATTCTGTAAAAAAATACATCCTTTACAAACGGAAATCGAACTAAAAATTATACTACTAAACACAATATTTGAAAAATACAAGGAAGCACCACCAACCGAAGAGACACTTGAACGCATACAAATTCTTTCTGAGTTATATTTTATAAAAAAAAATACTGCAGGTTTCTTACAATTAATTGTTTGGCCGGATATGAAGAGCCGCTTTAGGTTAGGTTGTACCGTTGTACTGTATGAGTTAGCTCGAATTTTGAAAAGAAATAAAGACAATGTTTTGTATGAACACGGCTTCGAATTTGAGTGGCAACAGTTGGGTTAGGCTTGAAACAAACTAAGGTTCTTAAATTCTTAATCTTTCTTTCTTGTGTCTCAAGCAATCATCATCTACCCATAAAATTTGGGAGTTTTGATTAATCTTTTAACATGACTCGCAAAATCAAAATACAACTATTTTTGTTTCGTCAATGACATCTCCAACATCTGGTTTTGCTAAACCAAAATTTTTGACACTAAATTAATGGAGATCCCGCATCATTCAAACAAACTCACAATTTTACTAACCAAAAATTCAAATAGTGTCTTTTTTCCCAATATTTTATTTATCATTTAATAATTGTTTAGATTGTTTTGTTCCCGCATGTGTGTGACCTAAAGTAATTTAAGCGATTCAAAGCGGTCCTACAAAATCGTTAATCAATTATTCTTTGAATTAATTTTTCGTATTTTACAATTTATAACTACAGAAAATTAAATTTATAAGTTTTACCTCCATATACATGATTATTAACGTTTATATATGTTGTTTGATATGAATTAGCTGATGAATGTTTTTATTTAATTCTTGATAACGATTTAATATTTTTATTTTTCTGTGAATGCTTTTTGTATGAATAATATTATATTTATAATGATTTATGTTGTAAACGCCTAAACCACCTAAAATCGTTTAGGTCCCGATTAAACATTTTAGGTATTGGGTCAACACACATAGACTCCGATCAAATATTTTAAACGGCTAAACACTGTTTTTTTTTTCTTGTTGGAATTGTTATATTTGTGATCTGATATGACAATTGACAAAATCTAAATATTTCAAATATCTTTTTTGTCTAATTTTCCACATTTAACCATCTTTCATTGTTCCATAGAACTCCAAACATGTTAGTTTGATCTTTTGCATTTTTTTTTTGTCCAATTAGACAAAGTACAAACCTTGTTACCAAAAAAAAAAGAGACCAGCACAAAATAAACTTTTTATTACTAATGATAATTGGTAACTAGACCAACACAGAATATCTGGCAATTTTTTGAGTGAACTAAACATAAAGTTTGAGAAACATTTATTCTTTTTTGAAAGGAAAAAAAAATTTCCAAAGCAAGATATAACAAACCAATCAAAACAAGGAATAACAAAATATTTGTAGCAAATTAACTACATAAACCTACAAAAATTTAAAACAAAGCAATGAACAAAAAATCTATAATTGCAACAACTACATAGTCCTTGTACTTATTTTTAAAAACGTTGCTACAATTTATTTACATGCGCATAGATAGATACACCTCTATTTTTCTCTTTACCTGTGTACATATAACCACAAAAAAAATATCCAAAAAGTTCAAGCCTACGCAACGGAACTATGCCTTGGTCATTTATGTTCCTAACATCATCATACTAGTAAGAACCATTAGCTAAATCCATCACTGTTCCTACAACGATCTAGGAGCAAATTCTATAACTCAACGATTAAACACATACCTATCATATAAGCATAAGGCGATGCCAAACTTAAGGACCAAAGCAAAGTACCAAAGAATAATCAAAAGCTATACCTTATTAAAGTCCAACTTCACATCATCAACAACCACAATGATATCACACAAGTTGGCAAGGCAGGGACTAGAGCATGGCCTCCTTTTGTGTTTGGGCTATTTAGTCTCTCTTTTCCGCCAAGTATCACGAGTCAATGACTTTTTAAATTTTCATTTTTGGATGGTTTTCAGACAGTTTGGTTATCATATAAATGATATGGAGAACGAGTTGATTGGGTTGAAAGTGAAATTGCATCACTAGATGAACAACTTGAAACACACCATTGTAGGGTTGAGCGCTATAGATACAATTGACATCGAATTTGACTTTATATAGGGATCTCAGACATCAAAGAAGAGATGTATTGTTGAGTATGTCAAAGAGAAGTATAATATATAGATTCTTCACAAGGATATTCCTTGTCTAAATTTGGGGAGAAATGGAAGGGAGGAGTGAGTTCCAATGAAATTTTGTATATTGGTTGAAGGACATAACTATCCAAAGCATGACTTGGATCCGGATTCAGCCTTATGGCTAAAAGATTTGACTCTTGTCATTCCGCAACAAAGGAAGAAAAATATATTGTGATTAGCCGTACGCTATGTGTACAAAAATCATTCCCCCTCATATAGTGCTATTGATGTAGTTAATAAACATATAGTTTGGATGTATGAGTCTTACCTTTTTGTATGTTTGTCTATGACAATGGAGAAATCATTAGGAAATTCGGACTTGAAGAAGCTTCCTTCTAGAGTTCTGATGCCAGTTGGTAGAGAATTGTTTCTTGAGCTTAGCATATTGGATCATCATGGGATTGCTGCATACACTAGATATTATAACGACATCAAGCTCACACAGCAGGGCCCCTCGTTGTGCTTGGATTACAAGGTGTCTCTTTTCTGCCAAGCCTTACCGATCAACGAGTATTTGATGTCAATTTTCGGATGGACTGATTTCAGTGGGTTTGGCGATAATAAATATGATGTGGAGAAAGAGTTGGTTGGTTTGAAAGTTTCATTACCTCACTGCAAGAACAACCACCACAAACACACCATTCTAGGGTTGAGCGACGAAGTCACAGCGAATATTGTATTTGAATTTGTATATGAAAATGAGACACCAAAGAAGATATCTATCCTGGAGTATTTCAAGGAGAAGTAAGATATTGATATTCTTCACAAGGACATTCCTTGTCTTGATTTGGGGAAGAAAGGAAGGCGGGAGCTTGTACCAATGGAACTATGCGTCTTGGTTGAGGGGCAGATTTTTCCAAAGCATGAATTGGATCCGGCTCCAGCCTCGAGGCTAAAACAACTGTCTCTTGTCAATCCACAGAAACGGAAAGTTAATATACTTCGTCTGGCACAGTCCAGTGATGAGCTTTGCGGGTATGTTTACAGAAATAATCTCCCCCTCTTATAATGCTAGTGATTGACAGTTAATAGACGAGTCTTAACCATTTGTATCTGTTTCTATGACAGAGGATAAAGCACCGAGAAATTCAAACTGGGAATTGAGAAGGAGATCACACACATGCAAGACTTTGTTGGCACTGAGGAAGGCAGGCTAATTATTGATGAACTCGCTAAGTCGTGTAGGAGACTTTGGATGCAGATGGACCGTCCTTGCGTTTGGATTTTGCCCGAGATGACCGCATTATCTGAATGTCGAGATGAGTGATGTGAAGAAAACTTTTGAAGGTCATGACTACCAACCTAAGATGGCCTTAATTGTTGCTCAGAAACGCTAGAAAACTCGTTTCTTCCACGAGTCCAGCAATGTTCTTTCAGGAACTGTTGTTGATACAACAATTGTTGATAGGTATGAGTTTGATTTTTACATGTTTAGTAATCCAGCAGGGATTGGGACAAGCGTACCCATTCATTACTTTGTGTTGTGGGACAATATAGGTTTTTCCTGTGACGGCATTCAGAAGCTCATCTTTGAGATGTGTTTCACTTCAGCTCGTTGCCCCAAGCCCTTACACATCGTTCCCCCCCATTTATTATGCCGATATTGCTGCTAACAGGGGAAGGATGTACCATGATGCCAATGCGAGCTCCAGGGAGAAGAAGACTACGCAGCCCAGGGAAAGCTCTTCCTCCTCCTCCTCTCGGTATGTGTTCCAGGAAGCCAATTTCAAGCTGCAGAAAGAGCTTGAGAACGTTATGTTCTACATCTATTAGAGATGATGAATCTGTTGGAAAAACTTTTCTATTTCTTCTCAATTGAAAACAATGTACAGATATCGAGTTATATACAAGATAAGCTTAACCGGAATCTAATCTACTAATTACAAGTAAACCGGTTTGGTATATATTCACAATTGAACCATAGTTAATAT